CAGGCCAACTGCTCTGCTGTGCTGCCACCCAGCCCATGGCGCCTGGGCTTAGGGCATGTGGGGCTTTTGCAGGTATCAAATTTAGTCACAGTTAGCCATTTTTACTGTGCAGTAAGGGCACGTGTATGTAGACGTGCACCTGTACTATGCAGTAAATTAGACTAATGCGCTTTAACACGTCTCATGTAGATGCGCCCAGTGCAGCACAGTGGAGTATTTTTTAATTTGCTCTTTTAAAGATGTAGGATATTGGTTACAAGAAGCTTGTAAAAAAGCATGGTTTCAGTGGTAAGTGTCCAACATTCAGAAGTTGAAGAATACCAGGATTAAGGTTGTCCATGCAAGGTTAATTTGGCCCTCTTGTACCATAGTATCATGCTGATCTAATCTCTAATGTATGATCGCTAAAAAATTTTCCACAGGATCCCAGCCACATTCAGTTCAGAGTGGATTTGCTTTAGGAATAAATCAAGGTTGTGCAGTGATGGGGACTTTTGTCTTGTTGGGCTTTGTCTGTGGAAGCTGGAATGTATGAAATAAATGAGGCTAGGGCTAGGGAAAAGTGGCTTATGGTTAAGGCTGTTGAATGCTGCTCTGAAGAACTCAATCCCATCTCTCCAGTGTTAGAGTTCCTATGCAGTGCTGGATAAATTACTTAAACATTTCATAGATGGTCAGTAACTCTGCCTTGGCTACATTACTGAGTCCTGCAAGAAGATGCGAGAATCCACAGCAATGTGGCTATGTGGGACAGGTTTACCAGATTTCTGAGAGTATGATAGATGCACAATAAGAAAGTCTTTGTCTTTTCTTCTATATTCTTAGAAAATCAAAATCCAGTGTATTTTTTTCAAAGCACTTTAATTAAATGTGCACCAAAAAGAGCAAACACTGTTGTTGTTTATAAATTCACTTAAAGTTAAACAAGGAGGTTTTATTCCATTGAGAATATCGTTCTTTTGCCATGACAGAAAAACATAAGAACAATTAAAACAGGAAGAAACTTGCTCAGTAGAAGCTACAAAGAAATATTTATGTCATTGCAATAATGATATTTCAAATGATATTTCCCTGGGGGGACACTATAAATTTGTGTCAATAGTAGTGCTAGAGCAGTATTAATCATTCAACCACCAGGTGACCAGGTTGTTCTACAACTTTGTTTCAACAGTGAAGAAATATAATAACCAGTCAATGAAACAGCAGTGTGAATGGGCAGTGAGCTAATGGATGCTGAAGAGTGACTGGCTAGTTCTTGTTTTGGTCTCCCAAATTTTCATGGGATGCCTAAAAATGAAAGTAAAAGGGTATTCATTTTTGCCACAATATCAATTATAGTACACACATCTATAAATAGAATTGAAAATGAGGGAGGAGATGGATGCTTGCATTAACCTTTTTCTTTGTCACCTACTTCACTGATGTATTAATTGGAAGTGAACAGGTACATGTTACCTTTTTTAGCCTCTGCTTGGAAGAAAACTGCCTCCTGTGCTTAATATCACATACAAATTCAAATCTTCACTTTGTTTGTCCTTGTGATAGTCACACACAACACTTTGGTACTCGAGCAGTTTTCTGAGCAGAGGATATTTTCTGCCTTTAGTTCTTAGAACAGTTCCTTAAAGAAATGTGCTAGTTTACAGCCTACTGAACACGTATCTTTTTACCTTTCATTTAAAAAATAAAGTTTTAATGAAATATCTTTGTCTCTTTTCCACTTTAATTTTAGCAAAATGATATTTTTCTTGTATCATATTTTTTTAATGTGTGTGGACACTTGCTGGATAGAGTAGTAGAGTAAAGGACAGCATGAGTTTGTATACAGTAAGAGAGTTGTCTGAGAGAGCCACATACCATGGAATGGCCGTCAAAACTAAATTAAATCGTATCTGGTGGAAACTTAAGTGGATGTTC